CACACAAACACACACACACACACACACACACAATGCTTACCCACACTGATTTGCTCATCTCGTGTTCAATACAAAGAGATATGAAATACCATTCTATTGATGCCGGAGAAGAAATTTGGATGTCTTTTTCATTTTGGAATCCATCTTTGTGAGGCACGACTGGCTTAACGAAATCCTCAATGTAGTCAAGTTGTTTAAATTCTTTATCTTCGCTAAACGACATTCTCAATACGGTCAAGTCGTTTAAAATCCACTAAAAAAGACATTTTCTCAATATAGTCAAATTGGTCAAAATCTGCTAAACGACATTTTCAATATCGAATTGTTCAAAATCTGCTAAAGGAAATTCTCAATATAATCAAGTTGCTCAAAATTCTCTGAACGAGATTCTCAATTGAACCAAGTTGTTCAAAATTCACAAACGACATTTTCAACATCAATTTGTTCAAAATCATCTAACCAACATTCTCAAAATGGCCAAGTTGTTCAAATCCATCTGAACGACATTCTCAATATTATAAGCAGCTTGTTCAGACTCTGTATCTCTAAACGACGTTCTCATGCCACACAATCCTCTCAATATAGCCTAAAGGACATTTTCAATAATAGTCAAGTTATCCAAAATCTGCTAAACGATATTCTCAACATAGTCAAGTAGTTCAAATTCTGCTAAACGACATTCTCAATAGTATAGGCTTAAGGACATTCTAAATAATTATCAAATTGTTCCAAATCCGCTATACGACATTCTCAATATTATTATAGTCAAGTTGTTCAAAATCTGTATCTCCGCAAATCGTCGTCTCTGATAGAACCTGGTCAGGCGGAGACGGCACCTTCATTGTTCATTGTTTCAGGAAGCAACATCCCAGCATTCCGGACACGCCCATTGATGCTCCGTTGCTCTCTCCAAAATGTCGCCGATGGTATTTCTACTGATTGTGCCAGTGTACATCTGTTTGAACGTTCTTCTGTTCTTTCTTACAACAGATGCCAAATTTTCCGCTTCCCTTTTGTATTCCCAAAAGCATCATCCTCTCCACAGCAGTACTGGCCTCTGCCTCCCTATCTTCCTCTTCAATCACGGCACCACAACTCACCAAGCAACCAACGTTCAAGAACGCCCCATGAAAGATTCAAACCAGGGCCATCAGCTTCTTATTCCAGAACGATTCAAACAGGGCGGATGATTATGATGATGATAATAATAAT